TGTCAGAAGAATGCAAACTCGACAAGAGCAAACTAGGACGGCACTACTAGTCCGGCCATTGGAGCAAAAGCCACAAGGCCTATCAATAGAATATAATAAGAGTAGTACACAATCAAGGTCCGAGCAAGTGAGGAGCTACTTGAACTAGACCAAGCTGTACGCAGAGCCGCAGATGATCTTTAGCTGCAAGCACCTTAGTAAAGATATCAGCTGTGTTGGCACCTGAGGCCAAGTGAACTACGCGGGCCTGGCGTCGCTGCTGCAGCTGACGGAGGAGGAATTACCGCCACTGGATGTGCTTCGCTCTGCCCTCTAGATGAGGCTCCTGACACAAGAGAATCACGGCCCTGTTCTTAGCGTATAGGACCGGGGCAGAGCTAGGCCGATCACCAAAGTCTGTGAGCAGGAACGCCAGCCAGTGGAGCTCCTGTGCCGCCATGGCACCTGCGTAGATCTCAGCCTTGCAGCTATACTGTGCAACGAACGACGAGCGGGTGGACCTCCACGAGATGGTACCTGCACCAAGGCAAAATCAGTAGCCCTGTGAAGACCTGAGCGTCTCTGCGTCGTCAGCCCACGAAGCATCTGTATGCCTTGTCAGGACCGCTGGCTTGCGTCCTCCTAGCACTAGCCCCATGCCCAATGTACATGCTAGATAACGCAAAATTGACTCCTCAGGGAATGGAGCCGAGAGCCACTGATCTACTGGCAGAGGTGTGGGCTGTGCGGAGGAGAATTGAAGGCCGAACCTCTGAAGGACCTTGCGCACCAAGTATGATTGTGTGAGAGTGATGGTGCGCGCTGCTCTGTCCCTAGAGATCTGCAAGCCAAGGAAGTGGCGCAGCTCTTCTAGGTCAGTGCAGTTGTGTCTCCTCAGCAACCCAGCCTTCACCAAGGCCATAGCGTCTCTGTCTGCAGTAGCAAAGACCAGGTCGTCTACGTAAACAAGGATGTAGAACGGGGTCTATCCTGAACGGACGAAGAGTGAAGGACCTGCAGACGACGGGAAGAACTGTAAATCAGCTAACGTAGCACGCTGATACCCGGGGGGGCGTCCCAGCCGGGGGGGAAGCGGTGTCCAGAGTGAACAGGCCAGACACCAGGTCCCGGGGGAACGTGGTGAGGGGGGCATTAGTGGCAACCTCAATACAGACTGCGTACCGCTCGTGCCCAGGGAACGTAGTGGTGACGCCAAGGTCCTGGAGGCAACCAACACCAACTAGGTTTCTTGAGAACGGGGGGATGTGCTGGACCGTAAGGGAGCTTGAGGGAACCGCCGGACAGGGGAGAGAAGTCGAGCTACGGGCAACCACAGGACCGGATGAAGGGTCTGCAAGAGCAACTGCAGCAGGAGCGGCAAGCGGCGTAAGCGGCGTGGAGTCACGAAAGAAACACCGGGAAGCGCCGGAGTCCAGTGTGAAGGAAAGCATGGCAGCGGCGACAGAGGTCGTAGGAGCGAGGGAGGACCCTAGGCTAAACAAGGCAGGGGATCCTACGCCTGACGCAACAGGGGAGCCTAAACTAGGCACACTGGGTACACCTACGCTCTGCATACAAAGCAGAGCTAATCTTATCCATGTCCATATCAAATATCTGAACATGACGATGGAGCAGATTGTGCCAACCGGGGAGGTAAGGCGACGGGCCAAAGCGGAGACGAAACAGGTCGTCAAGGCAACGAAAGCAACGAGCGGTGGTATGGCCAATCTTACCGCACACGGGGTCGCGGCGAGGACCGGTCTGGAGCTGGTACTGGCAGCGCCCGTCACTCTAACTACCACCCGACAACACGCAGCGCGAGTGACCAATGCGACCACCGTCACCTCGAGCTCCAAGCCACCCGGGCGGGAGACGGCCGACCCTCCGCTTCTGCTACTGCTGTTGCTGCGCCGGCTGCTGCTGTTGATGCTGCTGTGCCTGCTGCTGCTGCTGGTCTAGCTGCGAAGCCTGCTGCTACTGCTGGGGCTGCTGCTCCGGGGCACCAGCCCCAGCCCCCTCGTCAGTACTATCAGCGGGCGAGCCACCTCCACCACCGGCACCACCCCCTCCTCCGCTACCTCCGCCGCACCCAGCCTTGGGGCGGCGACCCTTACCCGGACGAAACTGCACTGCGGCGGCTATCTCTACAGCCGGAGCTGTCTCAGCAACCGTAGCAGAACCGTTGGAGTAAGAGCATTGAGTAGGGGCACAGCCCTGAAAGATAGAGACTGGCACGGTACCGCTAGACTGGGCGATAGAGCGCTGACGGGTCGCTATGGCAGACAGGGTGTCGACAAAGTCAGTGAGGGTGAGGTTAGCGGGGTGGAGACAAAGGAAGTGATCGCGGGCGGCGGGTGGCAAGCAGGTAGAGGGTAGAGCAGATGGGGGGCTGAAACACACGAAGTTGGGCCTGAGTGCAGGCAGCACGCTAGGTCGTGTCTAGCGTGCGCAGGTTGGCAGCTTGGTCAGCAACTGTGGGGAAAGATGCAAGGTCAGAAAAGAGCATGGGCAGAATCAGGCGACCTACAGAGGCAGAGGGCGGGGAGGAATAGCGTGCAACAACACCCTCTAGAAACTCCTGCACAGTCCTGGCGGACCTAAAGCGGGGGCGCTCGGACAGGGGAAGGGCATGACTAATCGCAAGCTGTACGTCAGGGTCATGTGACAACCAGACTGCACGGGCAAGGGCAGCAGCTACAGCAGACTCACGGTTAGCAGAGGTGGGGTCAGCGGGGAGGGCAGCAGGGGGGTCCGAGCAGGAGAGCGTACCGTCGATGTGGACGGCCAGGGAGTTGCCGTCCTGCCGCTGACCGGTGAGGAGTTGCTGGAGGTCGACGAGCCACGAGTCGAACTCAATCGGCTGCCCTCAACATCAAAACGCAGGACCGAGTCCGCCATCATGGTTGCAGCAGCAGGAAAAAGACAGTACTGGGCAGGAGAGCGTGGCGGAAAGCGGTGATGGGCGGTACAGTGCGGTACTGTGCGGTGGAGGGAGGTGCAGTACGATATGGTGCAGTGCAGTGCGGTGCCATGCGGTGCCGTACGGTGGAGAGCGGTGGAGAGCGGTGCTGGGCGGTGCAGCGCGGTGCAGAGGGGCCGAGGACGGCGGCGAGGCGTCTAGAAGACGGGGCCGCGGGCGGCAAGGCGACAGAGCCGGCAAAGAGGCGGGGCCAGCAAGGAGACGAGGCTGGCTGGGCGACGAGGCCGGCTAGGAGGCGGGGCTGGCTGGGAAGTGGGGGGGAGGGGGGCTAGGAGGGGGGGGGGCGCGAGGTGACGGGGCCGCGGGGTCGCGAGGTGACGGGGCCGCGGGGTCGCTAGGGGACAGGGCCGCGGGGCCGCTAGGTGATGGGGCCGCGGGGCCGCGAGGTGACGGGGCTGCGGGGCTGCTAGGGGACGGGGCCGCGGGGCCGCTAGGTGACGAGGCCGCGGGGCCGCTAGGTGACGGGCCGCGGGGCGACGAGGCGGCTAGGACCTAGGGCGGTAGCGCTGGGGGGGTGGGGGGGGGGGGGGGTTTGGGGGCTACCTACTCATGATACCATGTTAAATTGAAAGTATTGTTAAATTATATATTTTGTTGTATAATTGGTAGGCTTCGTAGGTTTATCGAACTCTACTGTAGAGGATACAACTCCCTCCTTGTATGCCTCTCTTTTCCTAGTCTCTCACTCTTGTCTCTCCTCAACTTTCTCCTCACTAAACCTCACACCATTCCTTGGCTTCCTCCTACTCCTAGCTACCTTAGTTTAACACAGTTTGGGAGCAGGCCCCTTTAGCTCGGGCCTTCTACTCACGCATCCGCAGCGTACTCCCCCCCCGTCACGCCGCACTGGCCCCGTCATGCCGCGCTGGCCCCGTTATGCCGCGCTGGCCCCGTCACTCCGCGCTGGCCCCATCACGCCGCGCGGGCCCCGTCACGCCGCGCCGGCCCTGTCACTCCGCGCTGGCCCCGTCATGCTGCGCTGGCCCCGTCACTCCGCGCTGGCCCCGTCACGCCGCGTGGGCCCCGTCACGCCACGCCGGCCCCGTCACTCCGCGCCGGCCCCGTCCCTCCACGCTGGCCCCGTCACCCCGCGCTGGCCCCGTCACTCCACGCCGGCCCCGTCACTCCGCGCCGGCCCCGTCACTCTGCGCCGCCGCGCCGCCGTGCCGTTGGGTCGCCGTGCCGCCGTGCCGTCGTGCTGCCGTGGCGGCTTCGCCACGCCAGCGCACAGACAGCTGCGGCCAGCGCCCTATCCTAGGCGTCAGTCGTAACGCCCCCACGCCAGTAAGTGTCGTGCCAGCCATGGTGCCTCGCTGAAGATTCGCCCTCTCACGCCAGTAAGCGTCGCGCCAACCATGGTGCCTCGCTGAAGATTTCCCCTCTCCCGCCAGTAAGCGCCGCACCACCCTTGGCGTGTCGCTGAAGGTCCCTCCCCCCCCCCCCCGCCCCCCCCCCCGCCTCCCCTTTCCCCTGCGTCTTCTCTTCCTCTTGCCGCAGCTGCTGTCTTCTACTCGGTTGTTACCTCGCCGTGTCACACTGGCGAGAGCCTTCAGCCAAGGCCATTGCCCGCGCTGCCTCTCGCCGGGGGATGTCACCATGCCAAGCCCGAGGGGTAGATACCTGGCTGATCTCGAGCATGGGGGTGTAAGGGGTTAGGGGGTGTGTGTGTTGGGTGGGCTTGTGACTATCAAGCCTAGGGGGTGTGTTAAATTATATATTTTGTTGTATAATTGGTAAGCTTGGTAGGTTTATCAGACTCTACTGTAGAGGGTACAATTCCCTCCCTACATGCCTCTCTCTTCCTAGTCTCTCACTCTTGTCTCTCCTCAACTTTCTCCTCACTAAACCTCACGCCATTCCATGGCTTCCTCCTACTCCTAGCTACCTTAGTCAACAAGTATATCTAGAACAAGGCATACAAGGGAATATAACCTAATGGGTTGTACTCTCTAAGGCACGACCCTATATAGTCTACAGAAACATCCAATATATGTTTGACAGTCACGTCACGTTGCATGACTTCACGAAGCATTGTGATCTTGTAATAGAAGAAATTAGGAAATGAGTGCACATACCTGGAGCAACATAACGCATAAAGGTTCCAATAGAAAGGAATGCAATGCGAGTAAGTAGGCACTCTGCTTATTACAGAGAATCCCATCGAAGCCGCAACTAAGCGTGAAAAAAGAAGTAACGAATGCTAGGATGCCGCGCCAGGCACACGCGAAGTTTGCCGGGCCGCATCCGTACTTAAAACCCAGCACGGTTAGACGGGATGAAAACGCCGGTACCGGTGGTGTCTTTCGGCGCCAGGTACCTCGGCGGAAGGAAGGCGCGCGGGCAGTTTGCCACGGGCGCCTGCACTGCCACGGGGAGGTGCTGCCGCTGCTGCGACCCCTCCGACATCTGCTGCAGCTGCAGCTGCACCTGCAGCCGCAGGGGGAGCTGCACGCCCGGGGGAAGCGTCACCGCGGGCGCCTGCGGATGGCCCCAGAACCCAAGTGGCGGAATGATGACGCCCGCCGGCTTTTGCGCTTGCCCTCTTTTGCAGGCACCCAGCGCCTCCCCGGGTGTCCCGCTTGCGCCGCGCGGGCCCCGCGCGTTGGCGCTGCTGTCTTGCGCGCAGAGTCCGATGGGCGGATAATGCACGGGGAATGCGCCTGGGAAAGGCCAGAAGACGGGGAACCCGCCAGCACCCGCGAAACAGAAGGGGGGTGGGGAGGCTCCCCCATGGGGGAAACTCTGCGCAGCCTGCGCGGAGTGTTGCCCGATGCTGCTGGGTGCGACGTTCCGCGGGGAGATCGGAATCGTGGCGGAGACGGCGCGTGGAGGCGAAGCGGGGGGTGAAACGGTTTCTTCAAACTGTAGGTCGTCTGGAAGCTGCCATTGGCTGCCTTCCTGCCACGTGGACGGCCCTGCGCCAGCATCGGAATCTGCGGGAACCGCCGGATTGCGCGACCCTGCGTATTTTGGCGACGCGTCGGAGTCACCCACCTCGGGCCATAGGGCGCGTCTGGTCGCACGACCTTTCGACGACGGAGGGGTCTCTCGGGCAGGCGAGAGCACGGAGAGCGGCGACTGGCTCCCTGGCGCCGCATAATGCGGCGAGCACAACGAATCATCGTCGCTTGCCGCGTCGTTCGTTTCGCTCAAGTCGGTTAGCGACGAGGGCTGGAAACCCCAGCTGTCGCTGTCAGTCCCTGTCGAAATCTCCTCATTCACCTCCTCCTCCTCGTCGGCAGCCCTCCCCTCACCGAACGATCGATAATCGCTGCTGCTGCTGATGCTCCGCGGCACGTCGACGCGAAGGCCGAAACTGGACGGGGTTCGTGGCGGCGTGTGCGGGAGGAACGGCGCGGTGCTGACGGGCGCCAGCCTGGCGTGCGTGGCGGTGTTGCTCACGAAGCCGCAGCTGGCCATGAAGCTCGCGTCGACGCTGTCCAGCACTCGAACCAGCGACTCGCGCGCGGTAAGCGGCTCCGCAAGTTCGTCCGTAGGCGCTCCAGAGAGACTTGTTTGTGCGAAAAGGTTTCCTGACATCGTGGGACGTTGAGAAATTGGAGTCGGGTTCTTGGTGTTTGTAGCTCGGTGTTCGCCTCTTGGTGTGATGCTACAAATTTGGAGAGACGAGAGGTGGCAAGCGGCGGGTAGGGAGGATTCACACAGACGAGCGATTGACAAGCAGTGCGGCGAATCAGTGGAGAAGGAATTCCTCGTGAAACTCGATAGTGCGCGTCTTGGGGGTGGTACGAGGTTTGACGCGCAGGGGCGAGAGTAACGCGTGGGGGCGAGAGAGGGTTGAGCTGTCGAAAGGAGGAAAGTGATAGACGAGAAAATCGAAGAACGAAGGACAAGAGACGAGGGACAAAACTGAAAATGGGTTGAAGTTATACGGATGAGGCGCAGGTGCGGCTGACTCGCACATTTTCACCAGCGCCGGGTCGCGCGTCCGTGCTCTGCGGGATCGCTCGGCTGGTTTGGGCAGGAATAACCTGGGTTAGCGGCCCCCAAGCGGAGTGGCGTGTTTTTCGCCAGCCAGCGAGGCTCCGTACTTGTCGCAGGCGACGTTCATTGGCGAACGGGGATTGAGGTTGGGCTGTACAAGCCATCGTCGGCATCTCATGTGACATGGTTTTCACGGGGGATTGGCTGTTGGGGTTTCGTCTCGAAGTCTTGGCGAACTCTAGCGACTGCACTGACGATTTGAAACGCGTTCTCTGCACCGGGATTGGTTCAGCTGGCATTCGCCGTTCCCCACGCAACCGCAGCGCGGGACCCTTGCACTGTGCAACAGCACAATGTTCGCTGTACACTCGCCGACCAGTGAGTGAGCGACCCCTTTCAGGCCTAACCCCGCTTGTGGGGGATCAGTCAAGTGGCGACAAAAGCATGGGTTTGCACGAGGTGAAACCACCTGCGTGGTGTCCGCTGGCCAATCCGTTGAAGAGAACCGCGAGGATGCAACAGCCAAGGTGCATTTGATTGGTGGGTCCGAACGAAACGCGTCTCTTGAAAAAAGTAATGCTGCCTAGTGCACTCCGATATATTTCCCATTTGAGCATTACAGAACTTCAATCAACAAATCCTTAAAGCCGCGGTACACGCTCCCTAGTATTTTTGCTACGAATTCTGCTTATGCTAATGAAACTGCGATGACTTCCTGTTTCGTTGAGTTCCAGGACATAACTGTCAACTTATGCGTTTCGTCGACGGCCGGCTGTGCCGTGCTCCTCACTCCTCCTCGCTTCCCCCTACCACTGCGCCACTCCAGACCCTGCACCTGGGCGTATGTGGTCCAACCCATGTCCCTGTGCCGCGTCGCGAGCGCTACTTTCTAGTGCTTGTCGACGACTACACGCGATACACCACGATGTTTCCCCTGGAGTGGAAGGCCGATGTGCTTGGCATTCTTATCCCGTGGGCCGCAGGGCTGTAGTTCAGTTTCGTCCGGGTAAGGGTCGCCACCCCAAGGCTGGCCGCGGCGGAGGTAGCGGAGAAGGGGGTGGTGCCGGTGGTGGAGGTGGCTCGCCCGCTGGTAGTACTGACGAGGGGGCTGGGGCTGGTGCCCTGGAGTAGCCGCCCCAGTAGCAGCAGTAGGCGCAGCAGCAGCAGCGGAGGGTCGGCCGTCTCCCACCCGGGTGGCCTAGAGCTGGAGGTGACGGTGGTCGCATCGGTCGCTCGCGCTGCGTGTTGTCGGGTGGTAGTCTGAGTGACGGGCGCTGCCAGTACCAGCTCCAGACCGGTCCTCGACGCGACCTCGTGTGCGGTAAGATCGGCCATACCACCTCTCGTTGCTTTCGTTGCCACTGCTCTGATCTCTGACCCTGCCTGCCCTCCGTCCGTCGGGGGTGTGGCTGCTCTTGGCAGTGACGTCCTAGAGGAGAGGCAGTTCGAGGTCGCTTTCCTCTATGAGGCCGCTCCCCATCTTTGTTCCATGCTACTAGTCCTTGAGGGTGACCCAGACGTCCTCGACATCCCGACCCCTCGCACCTACGCTGAGGCCACCTTGGGACCCTGGGCCTCTCAGTGGATAGCTACCATGGAGCAGGAGATGGCATCTTGGAGATCCACTGGTACCTTTGTCGACGCAGTTCCACCACGTGGGGTGAACGTATTCGATGGCAGGTGGCTCTTCAAGGTGAAGCGCCCTCCTGGAGAGCCGCCTGTATTCAAGGCGCGCTACGTGGCTAGAGGCTTTGGTCAATGTGAGGGGGTGAACTTCTTTCAGACCTTCGCCCTGACTCCGAAGATGACAATTCTTTGGGCGCTCCTACACGTAGCAGCACAGCGTGACTACGAGTTACACTCCCTCGACTTCTCCACTGCGTCTCTTCGGGGAAGCCTACACGAGCAGGTCTACCTCCGCCATCCTCGTGGCTTTACTGGTACCTCCCCTCCTAGGACCCAATGGATCCTTCGGCGCCCAGTCTACGGCCTGCGACAGGTGCCCTGTGATTGGTATGACACGCTGCCTGCTACGCTAGCTGACCTGCAGTTCTTTCCATCCTCTGCTGACCCCTCACTCTTCGTTCGTGCTGGCCAGAATCCGTTCTACATCCTTGTCTACGTAGATAAGCTGGTCTTCGCTATTGCAGACAAAGACGCGCTGGCCTCCGTAAAGGCTGAGCTACTCAGGAGACACATCTGCACTAACCTAGGAGAGCTGCGCCGCTACCTTGGCCAGCAGATCTCCAGGGACAGAGCAGCGCACACCATCACTCTCACATAGTCACACTTGGTGCGCCAGGTCCTTCGCAGGTTCGGTCTTCGGTTCTCCTCCGCACAGCCCACACCTCTGCCAGTAGATCACAGGCTCTTTGCTCCAGTTCCTGAGGAGTCAGTAGAGCCCATTGGTCCTTACGCAGAGCTGGTGGGTTGACTTATGTACCTGATGACTTGCAGTTGCCCAGATCACGCATACCCTCTCAGCATCCTGGCTCGCTTTTTGGTCACAGGCAGACAACGACCACAGCACTGGTCAGCCGCTAAGAAGGTTTTGCATTATCTAGCAAGTACATCGGGCGTGGGGTTAGTGGTGGGAGGATGCAGACCAGTGGTCCTTACTAGGCACACAGACGCTTCTTGGGCAGACGATGCTGAGACCCTCAGGTCCTCCCAGGTCTACTGCTTTAGCCTTGGTTCGGGTGCCATATCTTGGAGGTCCACTCGCTCCTCATCTGTTGCCCAGTCTAGCTGTGAGGTTGAGATCTACGCCGGTGCCATGGCGGCACAGGAGCTCCGCTGGCTGACATTCTTGCTCATCGATTTAAGTGAGTGGCCTAGTTATGCCCCGGTCTTGTATGCTGGTAACAGGGCCATGATCCTCCAATGTCAGGAGCCTCGACTTGAGGGCAGAGCGAAGCACATCCAACTGCGGTACTTCCTCCTGCGCGAGCTACAGCAACGCCGCCAGGCCCGCGTAGTACACTTGGCCTCCGATGCCAACACAACTTATATCTTTGCTAAGGCGCTTGCGCCTAAAGATCGACAGCGGCACTGTTTGCAGCTTGGTCTAGTCCCTGTTGACTCTCACTTGCTAGGATCTTGATTGTATACTCCTCTTTATATATATCTATTAGACAGGCCAGTAGCCGAACTAGTAGTGCCACCCTGGTTTGCTCTTGTCTTGTTTGTACTCTTGCTGATTGGTCTTCGGACCCCTGTGTCAGAGGTTGGACTAGTAGTGCCACCCTGAGTTGTATGCTTCTTGCTCAGCACTATCCCTTATCTAGCCTAAGGGGTGTGTCAACTTATACATACATTTGCATGTAGAAGTTATAGACTAGAATAGGTGTGTGTTCTTGGAGAGTACAAACCAAACCCTATATATCCCTTGTTCCCTCTTCCTTCTAATAATTGCGTTATTCTAACAATAACACCACCTGGTTAGAACCCCACGTCAAAGTAGCAGAGGGGGGGCCCTACGAGAGCTAGGTAGCTAGGAAGCCATGAAAATGGCGAGAGGGTTTAACTAGGAGAAAGTTGACGAGAGAAAAGAGAGCGAGAATAGAAGAGAGAGGGATACAAGGTGGGGTATTGTACCCTCTACAGTAAGTTTCAGTAACGCCTACCAAGCCTACAATTATATAACATATATAATTTAACAAGTTGAGCTTGTGAAAAAATGCGAAGTCCTCGTTTCTTGCGAAAACTAGCCCTCGCAACAAATCGTAATGCGGAATAGAAACGGAACAAAACAATGTGTGCCGAGCTCCCATTGGCGCAAAATGAAAACTGAACTAGTGACGCGCGAGAATAGCACACCAAACAAAAAATCAGCCTACCCAAGTCGCAGCCGGGCATCGCACACCAGGCCCTCATATATCATGGTAAAACACCCTGAAAGCCTGATTTTCAGGGTGTGGTCTGTTCTCGAGCTCAGAGATTTCAGGGTATTCATTTTGTTTGGCCTGAAATTTCAGGATGTGTGTTCTATTAAGCCCTGTTATTTCAGGGTGTTGTGATCCGCCTAGCCTTGAGGCCTCAGGGTACTACCGGGAATAGCCCTGACCTGATACATGCCCCCTGTACTGACGGGACGATACTAGGCTTATCCCCAAATTCCCGTCGAAGATGCCCGCGAATCGCACTCACACTCACCTTCACATGCGTTTCTCACTTCCTGTTAAATTATATATTTTGTTATATAGTTGGTAGGCTTGGTAGGTTTATCGAACTCTACTGTAGAGGGTACAACTCCCTCCTTGTATACCTCTCTCTTTCTAGTCTCTCCTTAACTTTCTCTCCTAGCTCCAAAACCCTCATGCCATTCCATGGCTTCCTACCGTTCCTACTAGCCTAGCTTTCTTAACATTTCTGCCCATACACGCTAGAACATTTGGACTAGCGCAATGCCCCTTTTGCCCGCAATTTCATCTTTGATAGACCTATCAGGGCTGCAGCATAGTCCACACGCCACCCTGTGTTATCCAGTGCACCACACAAGCTGCAGCAACCGGGCTGTTTACAGCCAATTAATCCCCTCCAATGAATCCTGCATGCCTATCCCCTCCAATTACGTCCCTCTTTGCACCGCTGTGCAAGCCACACTTCGTCGTTGCTGCACCTGAAACGCCCTTGCCTACCACGCGTCTCTTGCGCACCCTGCTCCACACTGCTGAGCTTTTTGGCCACTAGCAAACTAAGAGACAATTGCTTTCCTCCTCGTCAATCTGTTTCTGGCGTCGACCATGCGTTTGGGCATTGCTGCCCGCCCATCGCCATAGCGGTGCCAGATAGGGTTGGCAATTGTAGTCAGGCCCCCGTCGAGCCCACCCATGCCTCTAGGTTCCGCGGTCTGACGAGTTTAGATTTCCTGAGGCGAGTCCACGCCGTACCTGCCTCTTCCACCCCGCCGCGGAATGCTGTTGGCATCTGTCCCATCGGCAGCATCATCGTTTAGTCTAGCAGCACCAGTTCCAGCAATGCCAGTTCCAGCAGTGCCAGTTCCAGCAGCGCCAGTTCCAGCAGCGCCAGTTCCAGCAGCGCCAGTTCCAGCAGCGCCAGTTCCAGCAGCGCCAGTTCCAGAAGTGCCAGTTCCAGCAACGCCATTCCCTGCCGCGCCGATTCCAGCAGCACCAGTTCCAGCAGCAAGTGTGTCATCGTTGGCGCATAGTGCCACTCGCATGGGTCCTAGCACGTCCAAGCAGGTGCTCGGTGCCCGGTGCTAGATAAGGAGGGGAGGATGGTGAGCCAGAGGATGATGATGACAGTAGCTGTGGATTTAGCTCTGATGACGAAGGAAAATTTTAATCTGATGTATCTGAACTGTAATGGACGATGTGCTATTATGCCGTACCGTGTGTGTGTTTCATGACAATTGTGGTGTTGTTGGTTGGAATGGAACATAAATGCTGCTCTCTAAAAAGTACCCTGACAGCTCAGGGTATTGTGTTGACGTTGCCCTGTGTAAACAGGGTGTGCATAGCGCTCAAACCCTGAGAGGTGCACGCTTTTCAGAGGGTGAACCCTGAGGGATCAGGGTGACTAAATTTGAATCTGAGGGCCTGTCGCACACCCTGACGATCGAAATGCGACAGGGTGTGCGAGCGGGATTCAAAAACAAGGGGTCCCTCTCTTTTTTCAAGAGGGACCCCCCTCTGCTATTACTGCAACAGAAAAACCCACAGCCTAGGGAGCCAGGGGCATCGCGATGACGCGCGAGCACATCCCAACGCCATCCACGCTCATGTACCGCCGACAGCCACTAAAATTAGCCGCATTGTGGACTGCCGAATCTGAGTTTAGAAAACGTCAAGAGACCACTAAGGTGGCAAGCCTCTCACTCCGCCAGTGCGTCTCCAAAAACAGGGGTGTAGTGACGAAAACGCGAAAGAAAACAGCAGCGCAATACAACGCATCTTGTCTAGCGCAACAAGGAGAGAGCAGAGCGGGAGACGAGGTTCAGACGGGGCACCAAAACGACCGGCTCTCAAGTAGCCACACAGGAGCTTTGAGGGGAAAGAGACTACATAGCGACAGGGTACCTTGCCTAGGCAAAGTTCTGAATCGTAGTATCGCATACAACCACACTAAGCGCCATGATACCCGCGGAAAAGATTTGGCTTGATTGGGGACTGCCAGAGCACACTAAAATGGAGGCTGTGAAGGACGGGTAGGATAGAAGCCGTGCGAACAGACCAGCAGCACCAACTCCAGTGGCCAACTTATCCCGAGGAGACTTGGAAAAACGGCGAGCCCGCCCTCATCCTTGCGTGACGCGTACAGCAGGAGTGTTGCGGCTTGCGGGACCCATTCGACGAGGTAGCCACATTGCAAAACCAGGGAATCAGGCGAGGACAAGGCTGGGGTGTTAGGGTCCAGCTGACGCAAGCAAACACACGTTCCCACGCTTAGTTAGGATCCCCCCCCAACTCTTCGATGCCGGAGGGACGCCTGTGTGACGAAGTTGGCATGCGACAGGCACACATCTCCACGTCATGTCATCACACACGACCTCGTAACCCCCTTGGGCAACCACCACCTCCCCCCCCCCCCCTCCCCCTCTCCCCCGTACCTTCCTCCCCACAGGTTCTGGAATCGCCCTGCCCCTGCCCGCCAGCTCACCGTGACAGTGAGACCAGCGGACGAGCTTCAAGTACGCCCACTGTCTCTCCTCTACACTCCCCTCTCAGTGCCACCCTAACGCGCACACACTCTCTCCCCGTTTCTCTCTCTCTGTATCTCTCTCTCTCTCTCTCTCTCTCTCTCTCTCTCTCTCTCTCTCTCTCTCTCTCTCTCTCTCTCTCTCCCCCTCTCCCTCTCTCTCTCTCTGAATCCCTCGGGAAAGTGCCTCCACGCGCCCTGGAATACACTCACTCGCCCTTTGGTCAACTCACACAGAGTCTCTCACACCAATACGCGAAACCACACCAACATGTACATGAAAAAAAGGTGCCTTTCTGGCACCTGATTCTCTGCACCCTCTGGGGCACACACCCCTCCACTCTCAATCCTTCCACCAATCCCCTCTCCCCCGCACCTTCTTCCTCATAGGTTCTGGAAGTGAGCCCTGCCCCTGCCCGCCAGCTCACCGTGACGCATCCACCAGCGGGGGAGCATCAAGTATGCCCACACTCCCTACTCTCCTCTTCCTCCCTCTCTCACACTCCCTCTCCCTCCCAATCTCTGCCCCTCTCTCTCACTCTCTCTCTCTCTCTGCCTCTCTCTCTCTCTCTCTCTCTCTCTCTCTCTCTCTCTCTCTCTCTCTCTCTCTCTCTCTCTCTCTCTCTCTCTCTCCCCCCCCCCTTCTCTCCCACTCGCTCTCTCTCCCTCACACACCATCTCCTCCCCTCTCTCTCTCACTCCCTCGCTGCATACTCTCTGCCTCACCCTCGCCAACACTCACCCACTGGGTGCCTTACCCAGTGTCTCTCCTGGCTCACGGGAACCCACACCGACTCATAAAAAAAAGGTAGAGGGCCCCATCTCATTCGCCTGATTCTGGGTGCTCTCTGGAGGGCACACCAACTCGGACCCACACACCCCTCCTCTCTCAATCGTTCGCCCCCTTTACCCTCCCCCCACCCCCCCCCATCCCCCCGACTTTCTTCCCCCCAGGTTCTGGAATCGCCCTGCCCCTACCCGCCAGCTCACTGTGACGCAGCTACCAGCGGACGAGCATCAAGTACGCCCACCCTCTCTCTCTCCTACTCTCCTCCTCTCTCTCCCTCTCTCACACTCCCTCCCTCCCTCCCTCTTTCTCTCTCTCTCTCTCTCTCTCTCTCTCTCTCTCTCTCTCTCTCTCTCTCTCTCTCTCTCTCTCTCTTTCTCTCTTTCTATCTCTCTCTCTCTCTCTCTCTCTCCTCTCTCTCTCTCTCTCTCTCTCTCTCTCTCTCTCTCTCTCTCTCTTGCTCTCTCTCCCCCCCCCCCCCCCCCTCCTTCTCTCCCACTCGCTCTCTCTCCCTCACACGCCATTTTCCCCTCCCTCCCTCTGACTCCCCCGCTGGATTCTCTCTGCCTCTCCCTCGCCTACACTCGCCCGCTGGGTGCCTCACCCATTTCAGGCATCTCACCAGTTGCTCTATCTGGAACAAGTACGCCAGCATGGACCTCTTGGTGCAACCCTATGGCTTGCACTCGGCTTGTCGTCCTTGTTTGTGTGTGTGCATGCATGGCATGGAATGAATTGTGAGTCTATGTCATTGCTATCCATTGCTTGTGTGTGTGTTTGAATGGTGTATCACAATGTGGTTTGTGTCGGTCAAGACATTAGCGAGTTTTTTACAACTCGCATGTCAAGTCGTC